ATCTGCATGATTTATAGATTTCTCAATTTCTAGTATTCGACGTTGAAGGTCAGAAAGTTGAAAAAAATCTCTAGCTTTATGAATTTGGAGTTTTGTGGCAAATATCCTAGGAATTTAATAAGGTTCGATCAATGGAATAGAAGAGGTAGAGTTTTTCTTCTAATTTTAAGGAAGCAATAGGTGTGGAGTGTTGTTTTGACATCAAAAGTTCCCCTAGAGCATGTAAATATTTATTTCTGTAGTTAATTTGTTAAAAGAAATATAAACCTAGGGATTTCCTCAACTTTCAGACCTTCAACGTCGAACTCAGAAAATTGAGAAATTTATAAACCCTGTAGCTCCCTAATAAATATGTGCCTTATGGATCTGTCAAAGTCCTTCAAGAAGATTTTTTGAAATTTCATTGTGAATAAAATTCAACTTTAAGATTTTCTTTGTTAATATGAAAATCTTGAGTCAAAACATATAGTTCTCTACCTTGGGACGATTAAGGGGGTGATTGAGGTTGATCATCATTGACTTCTGTCGGAGGAGGTGTTTTAACTTGTGAGATCCTAGAGCAAAATTTAACGACCTCAACTCTTAAACTTTCAACTAAAAGCCTAGGAATATATTAGGATTATAAAACTGAACCTAATAGGATTAGACCCCTAAAATGTTAATAAAAACTAACTAAATCTGATTGGATAAGGAAAGGACCAAAATACCCCTCACTATTTTTGGCGAACTTTCCTTAAATGGACAACCTAACTTCAAAAGGTCATATCTCACTCATTCGAACTCAAAACTTAGCAAACTTGGTGGAGTTAGAAAGATAATTCAAATATCTTTCCCATGGTATCTTGTAACACACCTAACTCATCCTGTGCTAGGAGTTATAGATGTTTATAGTTTTCCAAAATCGCACACTTAGCTTAACTTGCAAAATTTCATATTTTGCTATTTCCAATTTAATTCTTTTTGGAACTCAAGGTGCTAAATCTAGTGAACTGACCTTAATACTTAAGAAATTTTTAATTCCTTGGTAAAATCTCACTCACTACGAGAAACAACTCAAGTCTTAGTTCGAAATTTTTTCTGGGGTGTTACAGAATGTACGAGTAGGCAAGTTGGAATGCTAAACATAACATAAACTTGAAAAAATTATGAAGGAAACACTTACATTGACTCTTCTCAACTCATGAGTGATTTAATTCAAAATAAAGCAGTAAAACACATGCAATATATACATGAAAAGCTTTATAAACAGTAAAAATAACTTAATTCATTAAGGAAAATGCAACAACAAACTCAACTTTTACTAATATAATAATGTAATATAGTTGTTGTGGAGATTCTCTAACCGGCAACCATTATTATGAGCCTAAATGATGGTACAACGCCTTACCTCATGCTGCCAAGGACAGTGTTTTACCTTGTCGGGGGTATAAAACTTAACTCACTGAGTGGATTCACTAGTCTATGCTAAAAGCATCTTAAGGAGTCATCTAAAAAGTATAATCCTTTGCTACCCATAATGGCTACATGGTTTATGGAGAGTTGAGTTAATATGAACTCGCATCCCCGTACCGATGTTCAATACTACTCCCAAAATATACTTAACTCATATGTTTTTAAAACAAACTTCTTTCTTTGGTTTGAGATAATTACTCAAAACTTAGCTTAAAAACTCTTTTTGAATCGATGTTCCCTTTCTTGCTCAAAACTCTTTTGAAAATCTCAGTTTCCACTCATCTTAAATGTTAAAACATTTACTCTTTGGAATAATTAGTTCTCATATATAATTTTAAAGAAAATGAAATCAACTTTTTACTCTTTGCTTAATTTGAAACTTGAGTCTTAAAATAAGGTTAAAATGTTTGTTAAAGACTTTTGAAAAACTTTATGAACTTCTCTTAACTTGACTTTGATCTTAACTGCTCTTGACTTGACTCTTAACTGGTCCTTTAATTGAAATATGAATTGAAGGACTGTGATTTGTGATTGCAAAGATCTCATGATGTTTAGAAATAGTTTTAGATAGCTAAACATGATTAAAAAAACTATAATCTCACTATTTGAGGGTGCGTCCGCGACGCGGAGAAACATTAAAATTTTGTTTTGAAAATGTATTTTGAGGCAGAATGTCCTATGACAGCTCCGCGACTCGAAACAAAAATTCTGGGAATCAACTCCGCGACGCGCCACCACCTTCGGATTTCGTCCGACGAAATTTTTTCTTCATTTTTCGGCTCTAAACCCTCTAAACTCTATGGGTTCTTTCCTCAAACACTTAGAATCGATTAAATGTTCAAAGTACATCAGATTCTACTCAAAATTGAACTTAAAATCACGGATTAGGATCCAACAACTCCTCAACGAATTCAACACAACAAGAATTTAATGGAACTTCAACAAACCCATCAAGAATTCAATTTCTAAGCTTTCGAGAACATAAAAATTTGCTGAAATAAATCATGATTGGTGCATGGACGAATTAACCCAACGCTATGTCATCTCACATACCTTGTAGGGATCACCTTCAACGAAATCCACAAGTTAATCTCGACGATCTTGAACGTTCTTACTTTCTCTTCTCCTTTCTCTTTTCTCCAAGCCCTAGCGTGAAATTTACTTTTCTAAAACTGACTAAAATCTTATTTTATGCCAATCAAAATCCTAAAAACGAATTAGAATAATCATATAAGGAAAAGACAAAATTACCCTTCAAAATCTGGATTTAGACTTTCCTTAATTCAACATCCCAACTTTCAATGGGCATAACTTACTCATACAAACTCGAAATTGCGTAAACTTAGCGGCGTTGAAAAGATTATTCCAAGAGCTTTCCAAACCATCTCTAGAAATACACCTAACTCATATTGAGCTAAAAGTTATGACCGTTTGAAGTTGACCGAAAACTCAATTTTTCCTTGAACAAAATTCCAGGTTTTTCATTATTTCAAAAAATGACTATTTCAACTTCTGAGCTTCTTCCTAGCTATTTCAATTTTTAGATGTTTTATAATCCCCTTGGAGTTGTGTGCCTTCTATGTCAATATAAGCTCTGAGATAGAACGAGGAGTACCACGACTCTTCATCAACTATACACCTTTAAACTCAGCTCTTCGTTGGATTAGATACTCTATTCCAAACAAAAAGGATCTTCTCCATTGACTATATGCTGCCACTATTTCTCATAATTTGACCTCAAATTTGGATTTTGGTAAATTCAAATTGATCCAAGAGACCGTTATAAAATAGCTTTTATGTTCCTTGGCCAATATGAGTAAATTGTTATGCCCTCCGGACTGAAATATGCTCCTTCAAAGTTTCAGAAAATAATGAATGATATTTTGAATTCTTTCTCAAAATTTATCATAGTCAACATTGATGATGTTATAGTATTTTCTACTAGCATCGACCAACAGTTCAAGCATCTGAAAGTTTTCTTCAATACCATCAAAGATAATGGCCTTTGTCCAAATTAAGTAGTCTTTTTCAAATTAATAGAAGGTTCCTTGGACACAATGTCCAACAAGGCACTGTTATCCCTATCCAACGATTCATACAATTTGCTGATAAATTTCCTGATCAAATACTTGACAAAATCCAATTTCAACGGTTTTTGAGTGTGTTAATTATATAGCAGACTTTATTCGAGGTCTTGGCAATTTATTGGCACCTCTTTAGACAGGTTAAAGAAACCTCCTCCTTCTTGGACCAACATCTACGCCAATGTTGTAAGGAGATAAAACTGAAAGTCAAGGATCTTCCATGCTTATTATTTCTTGACCCCTCTGCTTTCAAAATAGTTGATACGGACGCTTCTGACATAGGTTATGATCGATGTCGTGCGACCAAGCAACTCCTCGTCTTTCTCATTTAAGATTTAAATTAATTTTATACCCCAATAATTGATAATTCAATTATTACATCGTCGATTAAGGCATCAAAGGTGTGAGTCTAGTCTGGAAAAGAAAAACAACTCCAAAGAGCAAAATCTCTGATTGAGTAGAGAGCCCATAATGATGATTACACATCACTTAAAACTAGATGCAACTTAGGACGAATTTTAAAATTACTTGTTTGTTAATGGTAATGAGTATTGATTTAAGGAAAAACTTAGACAACATATTCATTGGGTTAAAATTCCTTTCACAAAATAAGTCAATTATCATTTGTTACATAAAATTGTCATTCAACCACTTCCAATTTCAATTGCAGTGCATTTTCCACTACTTGCCTTTCTTTTTTTGATCTTCTAGCCATTAATGGCTTTTTTCTGATCATCCTCCTCTTCCTCCCCCTCCCGCCCTCCTCCTTCTTCTTCCTTATTTCTTTGTTAATTCCTCCTTCTTTCATGTTCAAAGCTCGACTTAAAAGTTTGATGTGCCTCAAACATGAATTGTTTCAAGTGAATTATATATTAAAAGACTTCAAACACTAAGAAGAGCTCATATCAAATTTTAAGTTGATCTTGATTCACGGATATCATTAGCCATTAAAGCTTCTGTAAATATATATAATATACACTATTTATATGGTTTTGATACATTGTATACACTATTGATACATCAGATGTTCATAAATTACGATACATGAGGACATTTTTGTTTTTTTGTTTTCACCTGTACATATTAGCAAGTATACAACTCTTTGGATCAGGTATTTGCTAATGAAATGCCAATAAGGTAGCTACAACCCAAACGAGAACATCTATACGATCGAAGTTGTACTTTTATCTTCCCAGATTCTGAAATGTGTTATCCTTCCAAAAAGAAGCTCGAACCGTGCAGTATACGACTTCGAGCATTTAGATTAGAATAGGCAAAAAACCCTTAAACTTGACGTGAATTATTAATGGCACGTCTAACCTATTAGGAATCTTATTATCTCCCTGAACTTAATTACTTGATAGCCTTGAACTCGAACGATGCTTGCAGGTCTGTAACAATTTGTATAGAGTAGAAAGTTGGCTACCACAAATGGAAACAAAAAGTTTAAAATGAAGAGTTGCAACAGCTAATATATATAGAATAAGATGGTCACAATAAGTTACTTTCAAAACTATGCTTATTATCAATAAAATAGTCTCTCTAACAATATTTCTCTTCTATTTTTCCAACTGTTGTCACATTCCGACAACAGACAACAGGAGACTAGGTAACACTGCCTTTATCTATGAGATTCAGTGATTCTTTCTTTCACGACACCTATAAGCTTCAAATGATCTTTCTTTATACCCACAAAATAATGACAAGGAAGGCCAAAATGAGCCTTTGTTCTTAGATAACAAATAAATTATTTCTGATCAAGTCTCGGATACAATAATTATCTTGTATGCAACAATAGGAGGTCTGGCTTTTCCACAAACTTTTTCCAGTCGTTACAGAACCTTGCAACAGTTGCTCCATCAAGAACTCTATGATCTGCACCTATATTTATCTGAAAAAACAAAACCATCTGTATGAGATACTGAAACATGTTTAATGAACTCACCCTGGTTTGATCCATTGCACGACGTGTTGCTGATTATAGAAATGGGTAAAAAGGCGCCTCGTGAAGGTCTTTAAAATCACTACATACCGTCATGACTGATGCAGGACATACATTCCCATCTTCAGCAAAGTGTGGAATTTTCTGGATCCGGCCCATTGCTATGATGGCAACTTCAGGTGAATTTACAAGTGGGGAACCAAACTTTCCACCAATTCCTCCAATATTGCTTAGAGTAATAGTTCCCCCTGATACATCATCCGAACTAAGCTTGTTTATCTTAGCACAATTCAGTAGCCGTGACAGTTCCTTTGTTATCTGTAGCAGAAAACATATAGCCAGTTGACAACTCAAAGGGAAGCACAAACATGCATTTAGTAGTATATAGATATATACACATAAAAGATAAAGAGGAATTGATCTGGACTATGGGAACAGTATCACTAGGAAAGGGGGGAAAGTTCCATTCCAAGAATACATAATCAAAGTTTTCCCAGCCTCCTTTCGCACTAGGGTAAGACAAATCAAACAAACAAAATGGATAAAAGTTACTTGAATTGAATAGAACAAACAAAACAAGATGAGCATTAGTGTCAGAGAGGGAAAGAAAAAGGGAGGAAAAGGGGAAAAGACCAAGTGCTGAGTTACATAACTCAAAAAAGTTCTTAGCCTTACTTTAACAGAATGGCAAGAATCAGATGCAGGAAGTATATACAGGTCTCTAGTGTGGAAGAGATCAAGCAAGATACTGCATTCTATGTACTAAACCAAGGATTTCTGGTCATCCCTTCACTTATAAACTGGGATATTGATGGAAGCAATTTAATTATCAAAGTAGTACTACTTTTGTGCACAGTTTTGTGTATCTCTCCTTTTTTCCATATTTTTATGTCTGGAGCATATATAATAGGGTTATGAAACTCTTTCATCACCTGGTAAAACTAGAGATGACGGATTCATCTTCTAGCTACTGTAATTCAATTCCAGCACCAAAGAAAAGAGAAGTACCTCTCCTATCATTTTCATTTCATTAGAAAATGATCTTTATCAACTAGAAATTGTTATATTTTGAGCTGCGCAAAATCTTTACCAGGACCAAATGCCCACATCTGAGTCCCTCTTCCTACCATAACTTTATTCACTCTCTTTACTTAACATCAGACAGTTCATATCTGGAACTAGTCCTTATACACTCAAATGAGAGGAATTGCAATTTTTAACAAGTAACACTAAATTTTCTAAAGGGTAATACAAAAAAAAGTATAAATACTAAGCCGGTGAATAGTAGAGGTGAGCACAAGGTGGCTAAGCTTTGGCGGGTAGAATTACGTGGTACCTGCGTTGGTGGAAAGTAACTGGTACCTGGTGAAATAGTCTTGATGCGTGCAAGCTGGCCCGGGAACCATCACCATAAAGAAGAATTATAAATAAACTAGCCCAGCTCCACTCCTTTCAATCATCCTCTATTCGTTTCTCCGTAATTTCTCAGTATTATTCAGCTCAAACTAAACATTTCTTCTATATATTTCTTGATTTCAATAACAACATACACTCTCTGACTCCCATAAAGGAGAAGGCTGTATACACATCATATGATATTAAAGTAATACTCACACACAAGAATCTACAGAGCACCAAGGAACATCTACACTTCTTTCTAGTAATCTCAGACTCCAATATATTCATCAGGCAAGTGTACATGTGCCAGATTCTCATCTTAATAATGTTTTGAAATTGTCATGTCAAACTAGGATTTAATAAATAAAAGATGTGCGTAATAGACAATATCGAGCTATGTAGAGATGAAACTATATGAGAGGAAAAGCAATAGATAGAAATGTCATATTTCAGTACAAAATAAACAATGTCAATACTTGAATTTCACTGGGGTAACAGCTGCCAACTAACCTCCAAGATTGAGAGAGACTGAACATTTTTTATGTTTGGTACAACCAAACCATTTGGAGTAGCCATTGCTATTCCAATGTTGTGCGACCCTAGATTGTGGGAAGAAAACAGTACCATTAATAGGGATGAAAAATGTGTAAAATAAGAAAAGAAATGCTGTATCAGCATGAAACAGAATCTATAACTGTCGATATGGTCACTAATTATATGAAGAAACGAAAAATATTGTATCAGCAGATAACACAAAATCTATAATTGTCAATATGGTCATTAATCATGCAAAGCAAGCTATATTTATATTGTTGATGAGTCGGGTACCATTTAAAAATGATAAACAGAATTTCACATTTCACACACCTTTTAGGATAACCTCATAGGATTCCTCACTGAAGCGACTATTTAGCATTGGATGTGTAGTTAAAGCCATCGAAAGTGATTTTATGAGGACGGGAAGGAAAGTGTGCTTGATCTCCGGATCAGAAGTCTCATTCTTGAATGATGTTTTGAGCTCCACAAGTGCATCACAATTTATCTCTTCGACATAATGAAAATGTGGAATTTTTGCAGCTAATGTCATTGACTTAACCATGGCACGCTGATAACCCCTGTAAGATAAAGATACAAATACATGACTATAGAAAAAAAAATACAACACCTTCCTTATAAAGAATATGCATCTGAATTTGCCACCACAAATTGTTGATGCATTTCAAACTGATGGACACCACTTGCTATGTAAGAAATATATTTAAGCCTCTTAAGAAATTAGAGAAGATTTGTGAGATGCTTTCAACACACACGGAAAATGTTCTCTAGTATAAATTACTCGGAATCTGATATAAATCTATAGCCAACTCATCTGGAACTCCTACCGCGCCATCAAAGTTAGTTGAATCTAGACACTAAGAGTGACAAACAAGCAGTCACACATGCTTTTTTAGGCTATAATTTTGGTTCTTTATTGTGGTAATATAATTCGCAAATTTGCAACACACTTGAAAAACTTGTTCAAATAACATGCTTCCTGTTAACAAAATTTTGTTCAAGGAATTCTTTCACTAATGAAAATCACGGCCCATCTGCAGTCAAAAATCTCCAGTAACATATAGAAACAGTATAGTGAGCAAGTGAATTTGAGTTCTCCTTATGTAGTAACTAACCTTAGCTGAAGCGTCTTATCTTCATATCCCCCTCCAATGGGAGGTGAAACCTCTGACAGGTTTTGTTGTTCACATGCTGGTGCTCCATTAATTAGTCCTTTTTGCATTGCATAATTTATCACGTCCTCTTTAAGTATCCTTCCACCTTTCCCAGTTGCAGGAACATCATTTATGTCCAAACTATATTGCTTTGCAAGGTTGCGGACAGCAGGTGTGGATAACACTCCCCCCATCTTGGTTTCTGCAGGCACAGAGCTGATGTCACTTGTGCCACTGAAATCAGATTCCAGCGATATCATCTTTTCTGAAGCATCAGAAGTCTCAGTAGGATCAAGAATTTCATCAACGCCGATCTTCAAAAGTGTTTCTCCAACCTGCAAAATTTGGTATAGAGGATGCTAGTTCTTAAACATCCTTGGAACTTCTACAGATACACATGAATCATGATATACCACATATTGATGAGGCAGTCCACAAAATCAAAATAATTCAAGGAGAGAAATCGAACCCTAGGAATAAAGGAGCACCGGTTTCTCCTTGCGAACAATATGTTTGCTTTTAAGTTTTGTTACAAGCATAGTTCCAAAGCACACCATACTAAAACTAGTTCTCAATATGGCCTCATATTTTGAAAAGTGAGTCTTCTCAGTGTCTTTTGCTCATAAATTTGAGAGTATCTTTAAACAGGACGAAATTTATTATTTCCATCTTTGACAGTAAAATAAACAGAATGGGGTCGTGAAATTCTCACTTCAATATCTCATATTGTATCTCCAACTACAAACTGATGTCATCATTGAGGTGCAGTCAAATAAACAAATATATACGACAAAAGATTAGACACCAGAAGAATTATAGTGTGGTTAATACACTATGACTGTGGTGTTGTACCTTTACGATGCTACCAGGAACATGAAGAATTTGAGAAATTTTTCCCTTGTAACGACTTGTTATTTCAATCGTTGCCTTGTCACTCTGAACTTCACAAAGAGGTTGGAATTCTTCGACCTGGTCCCCCTGCAAAAAAAAAAAAGTACCATCATGAATTTTGTGAAATGCTTCATATACTATATGGTATTACAAGTAAATTATAAACCAATGAGTGCAAAGTCAGCAATCCAGCAAAGGAGTTGGTAGAACAGGAAAAAAAAACAAGACAAAGGAGAATCTGGTATTCCCAAGTTTTTTTTGGAATACGAAACAGATGGTTTTTACTACTGCAATTTTATGCTATTAGAATCCTGATCGATAAAGCAAGTAGAGGAATATGAAACCTAACTCATCCCACCAAGTTATAGATGAAAAAAGGGGGAGAGCCTTTAATGGCTATCTTAGACAAGAATTTAGCATACTCATATACAACCAAGTAACAAATGAAAAAATTGAGGTTATATGATTGATAGCTTCTAACAAGAGAAGATTGGGTAAACGACCAAAATCATGAGCAGCAAAACCTTAATCGCAGTTTGTTGTATGAGTATGGGCAAAGAGATGCCTGTAAATTGTACTTCAAAGTATAATTGACTTGAAGTTCCTACGAGCCAGAGAAAAAAGCTAAAGCACCTCACATCAAGTTAAAGTTCTAAAACAAGTCAATCAGTTGGGCGTCTAACATAGGCACATGGCTAAAAAATCATTAACCAAAGGAGAAAAATATGGCGTGGAATACCCTATATATTTACAAGAAACATCCACTAACCTCCTGAACAAACCATTTGATAAGTTCACATTCCGCAATGCCTTCACCAGTTTGCGCCAGAGGTATATCAATTATCCCATCAACAGGAATATCCAACGCAGCTTGAGTTGAAAAACCACACCCTCTTAGAGTAAATGAAGCATTTGACTGCAAAAAATATTGGCATAAATAATAGGTAAAAACAATAGAATAACCAGATTTTGCTAACCTACATAGAAAATAACTTCTAAAACATATTTCAAAAAGCCTGCATCAATAATCGCTGATAAGTTTGCAAGAACTCAAGCAAAACGGACGAAACATGTAGCGGAAAGAAAACAAGCAGCACCCTTTTAAAATTAGGAACAAATTCTATAATCTGATCAACAATGCTAGTACTAAACTACTAATGATCCTTCAATATTAACACCTTTGTATGAAAAGAAACAACAAGTTTAGAAACTATTATGATATATTGTTTGGACCCTTCCAAACTGTCTACCATTGTCCGATTTAGTGTTTTTTTTTTTGAAAATCCGACACGAGTGCAGCAACATTTGCGAAGAGTCACGGCAACATAGCTATTGTAACACTGATTCCAAATAACCCAGAATCTTGATATGGGCGATAAGGTAAGGAACAAAAAGCAGGCCTACAAGATTCCCCTTTGAATATTCAATTTGAAAAAATCAACAAAAAGTAGCACACAAATAAATACACTCAGTTACCCTAAATTATTTCGGTAAACAAACACAATATTATAACAAAGAAGAAAAGTTGTCACCTTAGTATATGAGCAAAACGGCGGCGTATAGATTCTAAGAAAGTGAAGTTGAGACTGAATTCTCTTGCCACTAGATACAGTCGAAGTAACAGGCGTCACCGGAGTTTCAACAGAAGACTGAAACCACCGGAAAATGGTCTGCCGGAGGACGGAATTGGGGAGCTTGCCCTGATAAATTTTCCGGCAAATCATGTTAATTGAATTGATGAGAATGTAATTGGGATTCAATTATTTATTGGGTGAAAAAATCAATAGTTGTCCAATTATAATTTAATTTTCGACAACTATTGTGTGCTGTTTAGTATTTCTCTGCGTTGACCAAAATTCAGCCGAATCTTTACTGTTTGAATTTTTCAGAAACTTCTCAACTGATTTGTTTTGCTTTGGGAACGAGGAATAATGTGACCAACTTTTATTATAAGTGAAAAGAACAACTCCTATGATTCTAAATCTTTGGAATTTACAAAATATCATAATGTAATTTAATTACTTAACAAAATATCACAATGTATTTTATGTTTTGTGGGAATATTCAAGTGACATATTTTTGTATTCGGGAATGTTATTTTATTAATAGAAATTTTCGCAAATAGCCAGTATAATAAATTTAATTATGTTTTATATTTATACTTTGCATATTTACAGGTTGTAATTACAATTTAAGTTGAATTATTTGTATAATTCGCAAATTTATATAATTCGTGAGTACATTTGTATAATGAAGTTATTTTTTTGTTTAAACTCGAAATAATGAATTTATACAATTACAAACATCAGTTTTGTAAACAATTTTACAAATTATATTATAAATTCTAAACTATACAAACGTGTGAATTATACAAAATTAAAAAACAGAGCTACATAATTATAGTCAAAGTAAATCATAAATTGTAACTAAGGCAAACTATAATTATGTTTACTAATTAACTAGTATATGTTTATTTATACATGTAATTTTCCCTTAACATCTAAGGTGTATACATGTCTTTGTATTGTTTTAGAGATGACACAAAGATAGTTATTTTCGAGAAATCCCAACCTCAAAAGAGAACGCACTTCATTTTTTCAATGTCTATTCACGTGAAATTTTAAAGGGTAACTTACATAATTTTCTCTAGTTTAGGAGTTAATTACAAAAATACACGCTAGTATGTAATATTATAAATATTTTTACCAAATTTTTTGTGTATTCAGATACATGTATCTCGAGATATATGATGTTAAATTAGGTGTAATTTTTTTTAGATACATGCATTTGAATATAGACCAATCTCGCTCGTCCTTCCTATCTTACTCGTCACCCTCAATATTTCATTCGTATATCTGATATCCAAATATATTCAAATCACACTAAATATATGCATATAAATTTTTACCTAGTGTAATTCATGTATCTAACTTGAAATTTGATAAAACTGTGAAATAATAAGATAGAATGTAGTTATTTCAAATCATAGGAAGAATTAGTATATATGTCAAAAATGTTTGTGTAAGTAGCTCATTTCTCCAAATTTAAAAGGTTTTTGTGATGGATTAAAGTATATGTTACACAAAAGTCTTCTTCATCATCTAGTATCAGTTGATCATCTTAGTAAAAATAATTGTCTCATATTAGTTATTTACCTTATTAAATTAAAAAAAAATATTAATTAAATTTCCATATATTATCATTACAGTTAAATTCTTGAATACGTTAGCATTTGTTTATAAAATTTCCAAAAACTTTTCTAAGGAATAACTTAACAAAATTATTTTCTTATTTATAATTTCTTGTAAGAAAAATAATAATCAACCAAAGTAGTATAAACTTTTCTAAGGAATCACTTAATAAAATTATTTTTTTATTTATGATTTCTCGTAAGAAAAATAATAATCAACCAAAGAAGTATACTTTCGTTGAAAACTAGCTATTCCTTTTGTCAGGGGGAAGTATTATTATGAATTATATTGAACAAGATGTTGCAACAATATTTGAAGTTATTTAAAGGAGAAAATATAAATATATATATTCTGAAATTATTCGAACAAGTCGACTCCACGTTCCAGATTTGATCAGTTGAAATGTGAAGTTAATTTATTAGTTATTTAATGTATTTTTCCTTGTTTAAATGATAATGATCTCTCTTTTCTTCCCCTTTGAATATTAAGATGATAAAATCCACGTGCGCTTATCCTAATTGAGATATGCAACACACATCATCAAAGTTATCTACTTCCTCCAATTTTGCCTTATTTGGCAAATACTTATGGATAAAAAAAATAATATAGATTATTTTGAGTTTAATTAAAAATATTTATTCGTTATAAAAATATATAAATTTAGAAGAAAAAAGAAGTAGAGAGAAGAGAAAAGATTTTTTATTTCTATCGAAGTATATTTAGGATCATTGATCTTTCACAAATCTTATTTACAATGAAGGAAAACTCTTTATTTATAAGAAAAACCTTATTTGGTCCCCAATAGAATTCCTAACTATATCTTACAAGGATTCCACATAATTAGACATTCACTATAACACAAATATGTTTATAACATTATTAGTTTTTAAAAGATTATTTATCTTATTATTTATATTATAATAATCAAATAAATAATTTTGTACATATGAAATGATCGCATGTGAAACGGTTCCTTAATCCACCATTTGATTTGGTGTATTAAGAAAAACATATGTCTTTTAACAATATTTATCTATGAAGTAATAATCTTTGTATTGTTAATATTATGATTTACTATATATTTGTTATATAGGCTATGATATCGAAATAGTTAATAGAACATATGTATTATTTATACGTTCGCAATAAATTTTTACAGAGCTATAAATTAGTTGAAGTCAAAATAAATAAATAAAAAATTGATTTTTATTAATGAATCTTATGGATATACGATTATTGAAAATTGAGAAAGATGTTTAATTCTTAAAATAAAATCAAAGTAGAAATTAACTTTCACCCATAAATATTTCTCCAAATTTTATTGTAAAAGGATATATATTTTAATTGTTTAATAGCTTGTGACTCATGACTAAAATAGATTAGAATTGTAAAATGTTTCATTAATTTTTTTTTGCTCTTTTTCTTTATTATTTCTTAATTTTTTGATGATTTTCATGGAGAACTGCTCCAATTTCATCAGGGTTTCCATGATACCATCACAATAAAGAGGATACTTATTATGTAATTAAGTATAAGAAAGAGGTTGCACACGTTTTAAAGATGGTATCAAATCGAAACTTTTATAGATTGAATTGTTTATTGAAGACATCTTATAGACACGTTTAATATTTATTATCAAACTATTTTAATCAATTGCTCTCAGCAAGTATTGTCACATCATTCGTCTACGTATTCAAAATCAATTTTACCCCGTACAAAATACAAACTGTGTCTTAATTTATTTAAAAATTCAAATAAACTATTTTTTTTAAATTAAAAAAAATAAAAAAAAAGTTGTAACCTTCTCAAAGAACTTTCGAACGCTTTGGAGAAAGCCATCTTTCAATTTTCATCTCTGTAATTTGATTATTTCATCTCGAGATTGTTATTTCATGCTAAATATGATACATAAATAAATATTAATCTACCAAAACAATGATACAGATAATTTTGAAATTGATTATATTTAAATATATTTTTTTTTAAAAAAATCTCATGTTTAACTAACCCTTTAATCCTAGTACCAACTAACCCTTTATGGTGCTTATATGGCTATAATAAAAGTCAAATTATTTAAAAAAAAAGATATATAGTCTCATTGTTAAGTTATAATCACGTTAGTGATATTATTACTATTGCTTCCATAAATATTCAACTATATATTATTATAATTTAATTTATGCAGCTAGCTGTGCATTGAATATCCACAATTTGACAGTTCAAAACTTTAATGGTGAATACGCAACAAGCACCTTTTTCTAACCACTCTATTGTTAGGCCACACTAATTATTTGCCAAACGCAATTAATGTTTTTAATTCTATTTTAAAGAAAATGGTATAACTACACACATTGACAACTAAACCAAATCTTTGAAGTATATTAACTTGGTTATATAAATAATTTTTTCTAATAGAAGTGCTAAACATGTTACTAAAAATGTACCGGTGACAAGTTCTTTAATAAAAAAATAAATAAATTAAGTTGAAAGATTCTTTGTGAAGATAATGGCGAATGGCAAAAATGGAGTAGAGCATGAGTTGCAAATTTTTATTTTCAGACGTAGAAAAGATACCATCTCGAACGTATTTTATATTAATTATGATAATATATTGTCTTATAAAAAATAATAATATTATATCAAATTTGTAGATATAAGTTGTGTTTCATGTTTGTTTTTTATAATAAAAAAAGGAAAAAATATTTTTAAAACGTATGAACAAGCATATTTTGAAACACCGAAATATTTAAAAATCTATGATAGGACAATACTGTATGGGGTCATTTTATAGTTAATTAATAAATAAATTATTTATGTATAAATTTTTGTATAACTTATACGATGTTTGATAAGTAAATAAAAAATAAATTAATCATGTATAAAATATAATATCACATTTGGTTAACATTTTAGAAAATCACATAAATAATACATATATAAGTTGTACCAAAAAAATAAAAAATAAATATATATATATATATATATATATATATATTATTTTATGTATAATAAAAAATGAAATTAATAATACATATATACCTATTTCTCATATAATAAAATACATGTATAAAATAGTCTTAAAATATTACACCATAATTATAACATGTGTTCCATTAGCAAATAAATGGTCCAAATTTATTTTGTTAATCTAATACTCAACCCTCTTTTCTTTCTAGAGCGAATAAGAATTTCTTCACATTTTTCTCCCAAATCTCTTAGGCATAAGAGAAATGTCAAAACTTCACGATGATTTTATTCGGTACATTTTTGTGTAAATGCCACGACAAAAGAATGGGGTTATTTTAGTAATTTTTCATGCATAATGGTTGTTTAAAATTATTAGAATACACTAAAATGACGTTTATAAAAATGTAATATCCCTTAGTTAATATGTCACGATCCAGACAGTCGTGATTGACACCCACACTAACTCTACGTTGGGAGAACCATTAGTACAACCCAAACAAGCAACTAAATAAAAAATTAAGGCATTTTAAGATACAAAAGCAGGTTTAAATGACTAAATTATTTATTAATGAGTTTTCATAAACTCCGAAAGTTTAATAAATCAATACAACAACCAGAACTTGAAAGTCAATGTACCAAAACTCTAACAACAACAAGTCTAAGAACAAGGGGTACAACCCCGAAACTAAACAATAACCTTAAAAAAATAGACTGAGTCCGAAGAGAGTGAACTTAAACAA